TATTTTGCCCCAACCTCCACCCCAAATCTTCTCTTCTTCAGGCTAAACATCTCTCAGTTCCTTCAAATGATCTTCACATGACACAGACTTAAGGCCCTTCACTATTCTGGTTTGCCCTTCCTGGGATGCTTTCCAGTTTATTCATATGCTTCATAAATGCTGGTACCCAGAATTGAACTAAATACTCCAAAGAGTATGGAAGACTCTTTCTGAATATTCATATAAACTATGCCTCTGAGTGCTGTACATGATTGCATGAGCTCTTTTGGCTGTCACATATCGATCCTCCAATCCACAAAACCAGCTAGATCTTTAACAACTACATGTATGAGCCAGGATAATTCTCTCACTATACCTGTAAAGCTGAGTTAATAGATTTGTTGTCACTATAAGCCCAAATGCAAGCAACAAGAAATAAGGAATATCCAGTCATTTCATATGGCTGTGTTCCTGATGTTCAGAAGTGGACAGATGACTGTAGCTCATGTATCAACATTTGCTATGTAGGATAATAATAATAATGATGATGATCATGTGTGTGTGTGTGTGTGTGTCTACAGCACCTATGTACTACCAAACACTTTACAAATATTATCATGTTTGATCTTCAAAACAACTCTGTGAGACAAGGACTATGATCATCCCCATCTTATAGATAAGGAAACCAAGGCAAAAAAAAAAAAAGAGGTAACACAACTAGTAAGTGTCTGAAACCAAATTTGAACTTTTCCTGTCTCCAGAACCAACACTCTATCTACTGCATCATCAAACTAGATCGAAAAGAAAATCTATAAAGAACTATACAAACTCCTCCAAACCAAGTCAACAGATATGTTGATACTCTGATTTCTACGAGAAAGTTAGGAAGAGGTAAGGATAACAGAAAATATGTTTGAAATTTTTTAGGATTAAGGAATAAAATCAGCAAAAGACTTCATAGCCTACTAAGGAGCCTCACAGGTGTGTATGATGAATACCTTTTTCAAGATACTAAAGGGCACCTAAACATAGAAAACACTAATGGTGCCACAAAAAATGAAACAAAGTATCTTGACAAAAAGCAAATGTGTTTATTAAATCAGAATAAGTTATCTGTACATTTATAACAGCTCCAATTTGACCTATTCAAACAAGTTTTTGACTCTGAAAATCAGGAAATGGATAAAGGAAAGGAATTAATTATGAATATCAATTACTGCTGACCAACTGCCACCAGCTGGTAGGTAAGCACAGGAGCCCCGGGTTTGGTAGCACTGCCCCAGAACACTAATCTTACTTCCAGCTATCACCCAGGAAAGCAATTCCTGTGGAGAACTAGTACTCCATTCCCACCAGCTACCAACCAACTGCCACATATAAAGCAGGCAAGCCAGCCTAGGTCAAACAGCAAGATACCCTGAGGAAGAGACAGGAGGCAGCATGTACCAGTTAAGTCACACCACCACCATGTTGACCACCATCTTCACCCAAAACTGCCATGCCTCCTTTAGACACTGATAGAAATAGCCCAGAACCCTGAACCCAAGCACCTTGGGACAAGTTATGCTTCTAGCACAGTGCCCACAGTCATAACCCTGGGAAGCAATCCCTGTGGAGATGCAATCTGACAACCGCTCCTGCAGGGGCTAGTCATAAGCTGAAGACCCAGGAAAGAAAGTTCTTGCCACCAAAGCCCTTGGCACTGTCAAATGGTACAATATCAGAAAATGATCTGATTTTGTCAGTGAAAATCACATGAAACATTAAAGACTAGTCATTACCATCTGCTTTGCTATTACACCCTAAGGACCATTGGGATATTTCTAATTTGAAGCTGAAACCATTCATATGTGATGTCTCCCTCTTGTTAGAATGAGCTCCTGGAGTGCAGGACCCTCTTGCTTTTATATTTGTATTTCCAGCCTGTAGCACAGTGCTTTGCACGTATGAGTCCTTAATAAATGCTTCACTCATTCTTTCATTCTTTGGGAGCTTTTTATTCTACTGAAAAGTCCTGTCAGTTCAGGCAAAAGTTAATGAAGGCATGAATTGGAGTGACTGGGTAAGTAGAAAAAAGCAGACAGATGGTAAGAGATACTGGGGAGGTAGAACAACAAAATTTATTGACTGACTGGCTAGGTGGAGGTAGGGCCAGGAGGAAACTGAGAGGGAAGAGTTGAGGATGATTCTAAAGTTGCAAATCTGAGTACCTGTAAGGATGGTGTTGTTCCCTACTGTGATTAAATATTTCAAGTAAAAGCCTTCCAATCTCTTCTACTCACCCATTGAGTAGCATACACAATGGTTGTAACACTGAATGCTCCACTTTTCTTAAACACCTATTTCTCTGCATATTTTGGAGCATCTAGCTTAGTGTTCTGATTAAAATCTTATAAGACAGTGTTTTAGAAAGCAATCTGGAATTATGCAAGGAAAGCTATTAATTTGTTCATACTCTTTGGCCCAAAGAGTTCAATAGTGAGCCTTTTATATGAAGGAATTATGTCAGAAGACTTATATTTACAAAACTGTGTAAAAGCATTATTTGTGATATTAAAAATCCAGAAACAAAACATGTGCCCAATGATCGCTGAATGGCTGAACCGTGATATGTGATATCAAGGAACGTGGCTACATTGTAAGGAGTATGAAATATAAAGAATTCAAACAAACATGTGAAATACTTATATGACATGATAAAAGTATAAAGAAAGCAATGCCAAATCAACAAAATACATGATGACTACAACAGTTTAAATGAAGATTTATGGGCAACAAATCTCTCATCAAATACTCAGGTAGAGGCAGCTAGGTGGCACAGTGGATAGAGCTCCAGCCTTGGAGTCAGGAGGACCCCAGTTCAAACCCAGCCTCAGACACTTGACACTTACTAGCTATGTGACCTTGGGCAAGTCACTTAACCCTACTGCTTCACCAAAAACAAAAAAAAATAAAAATAAAAATACTCTGGTCAATGTTAGAACCCTTAAAGTTCAAAAAACAGCCCTCCTTTCTTTTGACATTCTAGAAACCATTTTCAAGGAATGTACTTTTGCAGGAGAGGAGTTACCGTGGGGTTCTGTTGGCAAGTGTCTGTTGTGTCAAAAACAAAATGTACTAATAAAAACTTTTCTAAAAGGGTAAATAGAAAAAAGAAGTCACATGAGAAGTTTTCCCTCTTCTTATAATTAATATTTGGCATAGAGTTTTTCCTGAAGTAAATTTTCATGGTGAAAATTATTAGACAATACTCTCAAGAGCTATGATCTGCATTGGAGGTTATATAATCTGGTTATAACTACAATACACAGAACTTTTGCCAAGCTTCTGGCTATTTCTAAAAGACACTGTAATTGTGTAATCTAAACAATTTCCTAGATTTTAACCAGTTATAATTTCTAATATGAAAGACTTCATTGTATAGAGAGCTACAATTTTCCGCTAGTTTAACTTCCACTGACTAGAATACTCAAAAAAATAGACTGTTCAGGTTAATATAATCTTTAGGATAACTAATAACTCAAAACCCTTTTTTGCTTCAAGCACCTTTAAAAACATTTTTATGTTATTTTCGTACACTTTCCTGCCTTATTAAGCACAGTACTGATTCCCTTTGATGACTGAGGATCTTACAAGTGTCCTATGATCACGATTCACTTCTCCAGATGTTTATTCAGGTTTTCCCCTCAAAATTATATATACTAAACCTTTTCCCACATTTTTAGACTTTGTGCACCTCTATTACAGATTTTCTGTAAATTTTAGTATGTAATACCTCAAGTTCTATTCTGTACCAATTTTAAATTTACAGCAAACACCCCAAGTAGAACCAGAACTAGTCGTCATAAAGTAGACCACAGTCCTCACCAAAAAAAACATGCTAGGATTCTCCTACAGTTCAAATTCAGTATTAGGACCACTCGACTTTAAGAACAGAGCAGTAACCAGTAAAATTACTTTCATCCTTTTTTTTAAAAGGGGATAGGAAGGAGGTACGCTTCAGCTGGCAAACAAACAAACAAACAAACAAAACAAACAAAACCTAGTCATTCCTGTGGAAATACAAACAACAAATCCTTCGAGTCCCTGGCCAGAATGGGGATAAGCAGATGCTCAAATGTAGAGGTTTTTCTTTTTTGGTGTTGGGGACCTCTTTGGCAGTCTGGTGAATCCTATGGACAGACTCCTTCTCGGAATCCTGTCTTTAAATCACCGAAATTTAAGTTAATTTCAGCAGGAAGTTAGGGAAAATAAAGATGTCATTTTTCTCCCATCCCAGCTCGAGGTTAAGAATCGCCTGAAGTAAGTCAGGCAAGGAACATTAAGTGCCTACTATGAGCCTACTATGAGCACTGTGCTAAGTGCTGGGGATACAAAGAAAAGCAAAAGAAAGTCCCTGCTCTCAAGAGGCTCACAGTCTAATGAGGTCAACATGAAAACAAGGATGTAAAAACAGGATGTACAGGGCGTTATAAAAGTTCTTTGAAAGCTGCACCAAGACTTTTGGGGCACTGCACACAGGATAAACTGGAGGTAGCCTCAGAGGGAACGCATTAAGATTATTTCAGCAATAATGGGAAAAAGTTTCTTGCAAAAATTAAGGTTTAACTCGGAAGCCAGGAAAACCTGGACATGGAGAGGAGGGAAGGGGCAGAATTCCAGGAACCCGGGGTGGGGGCTGAGGAGGTGTGGGGGGGCGCCCAGGAAAAAGCTCGGAGGCGGGAGATGGAGGCTGGCGTGAGCAAACCGCCGGCCGAACCTCCTGCCCGCCGAGGGAGGCCCAGCCCGGCATCCCAACCGAGGTTAGGACGACCCCACCCTCGCTCCCTCGCCTCTTCCCACAAGCTCGACCCCCCCGCCGGCCCAGGTCGAGCTGCCCATGCGCGGCCGAAGGCCCAGGGGACCCTCCGCCATTGCTCAGAGGGTCCCGGCAGGGGCCCCCTCCGCCATGTTGGTAAAGTCTTGGGGAAGGGTCTGGCCCGAAACCCCCTTCAACTGGCCCGAAACCCCCTTCAACTTACCCGAAGTGCCAGGGACCAGCCCCACGGCGGCCTCCGCCACAGCTGCCGCCGCCAGGAGGAGGACTATAAAGTAGCGCGGCGCCGGGACCGCCGCCTCCCCCTCCATGGTGCGGGCCGGGGCGGGCCGGGCTGGGCCGGGTCTCCGACCAAACTGCTTCTCCCCCCCCCGCCCCAGACTGACCGCTGTGGCCGCGGCGTTCAGGAAGAGGCCCCACCCCCTTCCCTCCCGCTCATTGGCTGCGGGGACCCCCAATCCTCGCCCAGCGGCCTCGCGGAGATTCCTAACAGTCCGGGCGGCTGGAATACTTCCAAGAGTGGAGGGTGGGATGGAGGGGCGGGAGGGGGCTGTCTGCTCTTTGTTGCTAGTACCAGTTCTGACACGCGCACTTCTCTTCTCTCTCACCACAGCTTTTGCACGCCACCCAGGGGTCCACTTCACTTCAGACCTCGCGGGCCAGGGCAAGGGAGGGAACTATCAAAAAGCCTGGAAAGAGACCCAAGTTTCCAAACTAGAGCCTTCCATTTACACTTTTTTTTTGCATGCATGCTCCTTGAGGGCAGGAACCGTATTTTGCCGGTCTTTGTAACTCCTAGTACTTAGCGTAGTGTCTGGCACGTAGTAAACTCCTAATAGATGCTTGTTGACTGCTGAATGACTAGACTGATTCTTCCAAGTTATTGAGTCTTCTAAGATAGTGACCTTTAAAAAAATGAAAAATAAACAGGCTAGGCTCTAGGAAGAGTGTGAACTAGGTGATTCCTGACCTACGCTCCTTACCCTTTCCTTGAACCTGTGCCTTCTTATCAAAGTCTCCTGCACCAGGTATAGTATAGACTTGATGCTGCATCACAAAAAAAGACTCAAAAAATGTAACAATTCAGCCTTGTTCTGCAGACTCAAAGGAGATGAGTGGCAGTGAAATGGATTGCAGCACATCCCATGTAGCATGTGTGAAGCTGATCTGTGCTACTTTTGGTGGACCATGAATACTGTGGTTCAGTGGTGAGAACTTAATGCCTTCGGATAATATAGCAATTCCTTGGTTTCCTTGGCAGCAACATGGGATGTGAGATGGTCAAAAGAAGAAGGTAGGAAGAGCTGCCATGGAATGAGATGTGCTGCAAGTCCAAGCTTGGGCCTCAGGCTCCTGCTGCCCCTACTGTTTGTGTTATTTTTTGTGTCTTAGAATACAAGTCCTTGAGTCTAAATAGTGATCCTGAAATAGACATTTCTAGCCTTTGAAGGCATACTTGTGATATTGAGAGTGACATCAGTAGGAAGTTTTTGCAACTATATCCATCTCAGAAGACAACCTTGAAGAGATGTTAAACACAAGCCCTGACCTGGCCTAGCTGGCCAGAACACACAAATCTTGAGGTACAGTACAAAGCTGAGGTGAAAGTAAAATGCCAATTGAACAACCCTAGGAAGTACTCCACTTCTGAATGTTTTAAGTATCAGTCTCCTGGTAATTTGGAACTATGCCCAAAGGGCAATCAAACTGTGAATACCCTTTGACCTAGCAATATCACTACTAGGTCTGTATCCCAAAAAAGATCATAAAAAAGGGAAAAGGACCTACATGTACAAAAATATTTATAGAGCTCTTTTTGTGGTGGCAAAGAATTGCAAATTGAGGGGATATCCATCAGTTGGGGAATGGCTGAACAAGTTGTGGTGTATGAATGTAATGGAATACTATCGTGCTATAAGAAATGATGAGCAGGTGGATTTCAGAAAAACCTGGAAAGAGTTACATGAACTGATGCAAAGTGAAGTGAGCAGAACCAGGAGAACATGGTACAGTAACAGCAACATTGTTTGATGATCAGCTATGAAGAACTTAGCTATTCTCAGCAATACAATGATCCAAGACAATACCAAAAGACTCCTGATGGGATATGCTATCCACATCTTAAGAAAGAACTGATAGAGTCCGAATGCAGACTGAAGCATATTGTTTTCCCTTTTTTGGGGGGCAGTTTTTTCCATTTGTTCTGTTTCCTCTTTCACAACATGACTAATAAGGAAATATTTTATATGATTGCACATATATAACCTATATCAAATTGCATACCATCTTGGGGGAAAGAAAATTTGGAACTCAAAATTTTATTACAAAATGAATGCTAAAAATTATCTAGTACCTAAGCCTTAAGTGGTTTTCCTCCAGGGCTCTCCTGTGGAGGCTTAAGAAGTCATAGACAATGAGAGAAAGAACCTGACCCTTCTCTGGGAGGCTAGGCTCCCCCAAGATTGGACTCGATGTACCAAAATAAGCCCGGAGCAAGGGCCTATTAGTGGAAGAAGGAAGTGTGCGAAACTCCCTTTCCCCCATCCAATGAGTCTATTGTTACACTCACAAAGAACTCAAAGTGGATAAGATTCTCCTTACCTCTAGAGAATCCTAAAGTTCTCCAGAGTTAATAGCACCACCCTCCAGTTTAGATTCCCCTCATCATCCTGAAGACTCATCTTCCTGAGTTGAAATCTGGCCTCAGACACTAGCTTACTAGCTGTATAACTCTGGGTAAGTCACTTAAACCTGTTTGCCTCAGTTTCCTCATCTGTAAAATGGAAATGGCAAACCATTCTAATGTCTCCACCAAGAAAACCACTAAGGGGGTCACAAAGAGTCAGACATGACTAAAAAAATGACTCAACAACTACAAAAGGGAAAGAAGCTTGGAGGCTACAAGACTAGGAACCCTTGACGATCTGGTGTGGTGGGATGCTAAACTACGGTTGCCACAATTCATTCCTTAATGCCTGGTTTGTAGCTGCTATGAATGATCCTTCCCCTAACTAATATATGGATATCTTTGCAATTTAGGATATTTAACTGTAAGTTTTATTCTTCCTTTGTGAATGTAAATTAATTGATGTTATTAGAAAAGGCACATGGAGCAGAGAGGTGAGAGTAGATACATCCCTAGTGTCTCCTCTCTCTACCTTTCTCCAAGAAAGACTTTGTTTTCTGCCAGGAAGAAAAGTGGGAGATTGGGGTCCAAGTCTGCTCTGCTGTCCTCACAGAGAGGTAATGCTGGGCTAGAATTATATCTATCTTGTTCTTTAAATAGTATTAGTCTAGGGAACAAAGTTTTCAAATTCAAGCCAAACTCATCTCTATTTTTTTAATGGAGATGGTGGGCCCCAAGCTTTATATCCAAGGCTTTACTCCCTTGCTACCAAATACCAGTTTCACAATAAACACACATAACAAGCAGCAAAGAAACCCATTTATCCAATAGCCAAATAGAAATCAGAGGAAGTATGCATATGAAAAATATATACCAGACAATACAGAGTGGAGGAGCTGTCCCAGCTTAACCAGAGAATCCCTAGATCTCACCCAAGGGAATAGGGAGATGATTGAAGTTCTGCATATCAGCTTCTTCCCAGAGTCTTTTTCTTTCTTCATCAATCTGAAGAGAGGTTGACATCACCCATTTTTTCTTTCTCTGTCTCTCTCTCTCTGTCTGTCTCTCTCTCTATGTGTCTTTATCTATTTCTCTCTTTCTCTCTCTCTCTTTCTCTGTCTCTCTTCCCCCCCTCCCCAAGCACACAAAGAGATTGAAGAGATCTGATTCCTCTTGTCTCAGTACCACCCTCCCCTCACACAGGCACAGGATATTGATCTTCCCCAATGGAGTCCCATACAATTGGCCCTTTGAGCCAGAGTTACAAATACAGCTGTACATACGAATGCATACACATCTGTAATAATTACCTTCTGACCTATCTCAGAGATATAAGACACCTTAACATATGAAATCATTAAACAAAAAGATCTGAGTGAATGTTAACATGATTACTGCACCTATAGCAGCTTCAAAGTCTTGAAATTAAAAAGTAAATCAGAAGTTCAAGCTATCAGCAATCTTTGTTCTTCATTTAGCTATGATGCCTGTTTAAAATTCATATTTATTTGTGCAAGGGATAAGCTCCTGGGCCCTGAGGTAGTTTTTTTTTTTTAAGAGACCAACTAAAGGGGCAGCTAGGTGGTGCAGTGGACAGAGCTCCAGCCTTGGAGTCAGGAGGACCTGAGTTCAAATGCGGCCTCAGACACATGATACTCACTAGCTGTGTGACCCAGGGCAAGTTACTTAACTCTGATTGCCTCACAAAAAAAAGACAGAGACCAACTAAGGCCATGAGAGCAAGCCCCTATCTTTATTTTATTTATTTATTTTAGGCAATTGGGATTAAGTGACTTGCCCAGGGTCACACAGCTAATAAGTGTTTGGTTTGAGGCCAGATTTGAACTCAGGTCCTCCTGACTTTAGGGCCGGTACTCTGTTCACTGTGCCACCTAGCTTCCCCTAGCCCCTATCTTTATAAGAAAAGGTCCAATAAATTTAGTATATCAACCATGTGATGAATCAGCCTTCCTTTTCTCTCTCCCTTGCTCTTCCAACCAATGACAGTGCTTGAAGATCTCAAATCACAGCTATGGGTGCATAAGTAACAGATAATACCTTGTTTCCCCACCAATCACTTCCCTAGAAACCCTGGGAATAGAGGAGAATTGGTAAAATATGACTGATATGTTAGAGATGGAGCCTTTCTTATATAAATGGGGATAGCTGGGATGCCGTCTTTGGAGTTGTTATTTCCTACAAGTTGATGAGACACCAATTTTTTATTTTTTGGCAAGGCAATTGGGGTTAAATGACTTGCCCAGGGTCACACAGCTAGTAAGTGTCAAGTGTCTGAGGCCACACTTGAACTCAGGTCTTCCTGATTTCAGGGCTGGTGCTCTATCCACTGTGCCACTTAGCTGCCCCTGGGACACAGATTTTCAGTATCCCGCATTTCCAGACTTCTTGGGGCATCACTTTGTTGTAAAGTAGTAGTGTCAAACTCAAATAGAAACTGGGGTCACTAAACCATACATATCAATCCCTGCAGGCCACATGTTGACTTAGTTTCAAAATGTAATACTATCTGTGTTTTATTGTATTTTTGTTTGTTAAACACCTCCCCGTTATGTTTTAATCTAACCCAGGCTGCACTCAGTAGTTTTGTGGGCCCCATGAGGCCCAGGGGCTGTGTGTCTGACATCTCTGTTGTAAAAAGCATCCTTTAGTACATTCCATTTGGACATGTAAGTTTTGTGCATAGATTTACCTTTTTCCTTCCTAGCATGAAATCATTTATTTAGACAGGCTCTTGCTGCTGAATATAGGAAATAATGACAGGAAATTAATTGCTTCTCCATTCCAAATTATCCCCTGTGAAACTAAACTATCACTAATT